GTTCTAACCAATTCTGACACCAACTGTCTTCCCCACGTAACCTCCCCTCTGTCGAGTTTGATAATCCCTTGCAATAGCCACATAGAGCTCCCAGGCCATCCTCAGTTATAGGTCCATAAGGGAAGAAGCAGGGAATCAGGACTCACCCAGAAGTAATAGGAACTGTGGTGGTACAGTGCACTCCTGTTGGCTGCTCATCACAGCCTGCAGTTCAAGCCCACCCGCCCCTCCGTGGGCGACACACGACAGGGAACAAGGAGGCAGCTGCTTCTATAAAGATGTACAACCTTGGAAATCCTCGATAGGGTTGCCCTGAGTTGGAATGGACTTGAGGACCATGAGGTTTTGGAACAGGAACAAGAGGAGTGTCAGGAAGCACACAGGCAGGGCTTGAGAGGCTCCCCGTGGAGCAGAGCACACTTCTTGCCTCTTAGTGGAGGACAGCTGTCTCGACCTCCTGCTGGCCTCCTCTTGAGGCCGGCACAGTTGGTCTCTTCTCAGCTCCTCCTCTGGGCCCTTGCCCTGCTTAGGTTAACAACCCTTTTAACTCTGCCCACAAGTACCTGGAGTCAACAAGCTTCCGGACCAAAGGTGCTCAGCATTCTTGCTCTATAGGTAGGCAAACACAAGGTAGCCATCTCACTCAATGGGCCAGAGAGCCCCCACTTCATCTCATGCTAGTCTCCTGGTTCTGCTGCCTCCACACCACTAGTACAAGTGTGTCTCCTGGATCTGCTTCTCACCACAGAGACCCTGCGGCCAAAGGATGCACTCCACTCGAGAAGAAGTTCTCCGTAATAGTGAGGTGACCCCTTGGCCTCTGTGGGATGACTACTTATAGGCAAATGGCTTGATCCTATTGGGTAAATTGACCTACCCTATTTGCAAGTAAACTTTTGCTGAAGATCATCCAACAATGGTTGCAGCAGTACATTGACAGGGAGCTACCAGAGGTTCCGGCTGGATTCAAAAGAGGACATGGAACAAGGAATATCATTGCTCATGTCAGATGGATATTGGCTCAAAACAGAATACCAGAAAGATGTTTACTTGAGTTTCATTGACTCTGCAAAGGCATTAGACTGTGTGGATCATAACAAATTATGGATAACCTGGAGGAGAATGGGTATTCCAGGAACTTGTACATGAATCAAGAGGCAGTTGTGTCAATAGAGCAAGGTCATACTGCACGGTTTAAAATCAGGAAAGGTGAGCATCAGGGTTGTTTCCTCTCACCATCGTTATTCGATCTGTCTGCTGAGCAAATCATCACAGAAGCTGGATTATATGAGGAAGATTGTGGCATCAGGATTGGAGGGAAGCTGATTAACTTGCTATGTGCAGATGACACAACCTTTCTTACTAAAAGTGAGGACTTTGAGCACTTGCTGATGAAGGATCGCAGCCTTCAGTCTGGACCACAACTCAATGTCAAGAAGACCAAAATCCTCACAGCTCGACCAATAGGTGACATTATGATAAATGAAGAAAAGATTGAAGTTGTCAAGGATTTCATTTTCCTTGGGTCCACAGTCAGTGCTCATGGAAGCAACAGTCAAAAGATCAAATGATGCAATGCCTTGGGTCAATCTGCTGCACAAGACCTCTTTTGAGTATTGACAAGCAGAGATGTTACTTTGAGGACTAAGATGTGCCTCACTGAAGCCGTTGTATTTTCAGTTGCTTCATCTGCGTGTGGCAGTTGGGCATCGAAGAAGGAAGACTGAAGAAGGATCGGTGCATGTGGATTGTGGTGCTGGCGAAGAATGTTGAACTGACTGCCAAAGGGACATACCAATATGTCTTGGAAGAAGTACGGCCAGAGAGCTTCTTAGGGGCAAGGATAATGAGACTTTGTCTTACATACTTTGGGCATGTTTCCAGGAGAATCTGGGGGGAAACCACCATGCTTGGGAAAGCGGAGGGCAGTGAAAAAGAGGACGGTCGCAGTGGCTGCAACTGCGGGCTCAGTCACAACAAACACTCTGAGGCCGCACAGGATTGTGCGGTGTTTCGTTCTGCGTGCGTCGGTTCCCTGTGGGTCAGAGCCGACTCCATAACACCTCATAGGGACAGCAGCATTTGCCTAGTGACTGAGCAATCCCTCCAGTGAGCTCCATCATAACCCACATTTTATCCAGGGCCTGTTTTCCCCTAACAACAACAACAGAAATCTCACCGCCATCCTCTCGATGGTGACAAATAGTGACTCTATAGGACAGGGCAGAACTGTGCCTGCCGGTTCCTGAGGAAAGCATCATTTTACACCAGTAGAGCTAGTGGAGTGGGCTGGTTTCAGTCCAAGGGGAAACTACTGCACCCACAGGGCTTCTTCCTCAGGTACCTGTAACAAGGGCAACTCTGAGCACTCCTAAAGTCCTAGGGGGAAGTCTCCCAAGCAGTTTTCTTTCCCACAGAAACAGGAGTTTGAAAATACGCTGGCTTTGGCGAGGAACACCTTAGTCTTCAAAGTAAGACTCTTGCTTTTCAATAGTTTAAAGAGGTCCCGAGCAGCCATTTTACCCAATGCAATGTGTCTTTGATCTCTTGATTGCTGCTTCCATAAGCATTGATTGTGAACCCAGCAAGATGAAATCCTTGACAATTTCAATCTTGTCTGCATTGATCATGATGTAACCTATTGGTCCAGTTGTGAGGATCTGGGTTTTCATTACATTGAGTTTTTATACACACCGAAGGCTACAGTTCTTGATCTTCATCAGCAAGGGCTTCAAGTCCTCCTCACTTTCAGCACGTCAGGGTGTGCCATCTGCACATCACAGGTTGTTAAGAAGCCTTCCTCCAGTCCTGAAGCCACGGCTTCTCTGCTGATTTGCTCAGCACGCAGAGTGAATAAGTATGGTGAGAAGATGTGACCCTGTTGCATACACATTTCCTGATTTAAAGCATGTAGTATTTCCTTGTTCTAGTGGCACAACTGCTCCTTATCCATATATTGCTGTGACTGTTGTTGGATGATCTTAAACAAAATTTTTCTTGCATGTGATACTAATGAAAGTGTTCTAGAATTTGAGCATTCTATTGGATCACATTTCTTTGGAATGGGCACAAACAGGGATTTCTTCCAGTCAGTTGGACAAGTAAATATCTACCTTCTAAATTTCCAGTCATAGAGAAATAAGTGCTTCGAGTGCTTCATCAGCTTATTGAAACGTTTCAATTATATACTCAAGTATAAGCCGACCCAGACATCAGCCGAGACACCTAATGTTACCACAAAAACGGCATTAAAAATGTGCTGGAAAAACTCGGCTTATACACGAGTATATGTGGTAGTATTTCGCCAATTCCTAGAGCCTTGTTTTTGGCTAATGCTTGCAGTGAAGCTTGGACTTCTTGCAGCACCGCTGGTTTTTACTCAGATGCCGCCTCCTGAAATGGTGCAATGTCGACTAGCTCTACTTGGTACAGTGACTCTGTAGTCTCTCTATCTTCTTTTGATGCTTCCTGCATCATTCAATATTTTGTTCATAGAATCTTTCAATCTTGCACCTCGAGGCTTGATTTTTTTCTTTAATTCTTTCACCATATGGTTCTCTGATTCAAAATGGCCCATACTAGTCCATTTCAGCTCACTAATGCCTAGGATTTGGATCTTCATGCATTCCATTTCATTTTTGACTACTTCCAATTTTCCTAGGTTCATACTTTGCACATTCCAAGTTACAATCATTAACTGATTTTTGCAAATGACGATCCCAAAGGCTCTAGTTCCACAGACCTTACCCGACTGCCATCACCATGGTGGGCTCCACTCTGAGAAAGCAGCTCCTCCCGAGTCCAGTCAGTGCCCTCTGAGCTGGGGGGCCCATCCTCCAGCAGCCTCTTAGACGATGTTCTGCTTCCATTCACTAGACCCTCAGTATAGACAATGTTTTGAAGTTATGCACAAGGTTTTCAGCAGCTACTTCCTCTGAAGTGGGGAGCAGATTCCTTCTTTGTTGTCTGTTCTTAGTCTGGAAGCTCTGCTGCAACCTGTTCCCTCTGGGTGACCGTGCAGGCATTTGAAATACCAGTGACATAGCTTCCAGCATCACAGCGCCACACAAACCACCACAGTGCAACAAACTGACAGACAAGTGGTGAAAAAGGGCACATAGAGAAACTCATTTCATCACATCTGTCAGCTCTTGTCTGAACTCCATCTGGACTTAAAAGCCATTCCAAATTTTTGCGTTGTCTTATTTCCCATGTGCAAATTTGTTAGAACTTTATACCAATGCAGAACCATTTCAGCTGATAGAAAGATTCATAAGAATAGTCTAGAGACTGGGAAATTAAGCATTTTAAAAAGTATGTTCAAGTATTCTTATTTAAATAAATTTTATTGAGTATATTATTTGTTGAAAGTAGTATTTCAATATTGTTAGTATATAGCAGTTAAATATACTTCTAACTGTTCTGTTGTCATTTCTAACATCCAAAAAATTAGCTTTCTTAACTCCTGTTAAGAGACAATTCCCCTTGTGCTTTAAGAAAGAAAAGGCAAATCAGTCCTGAGACCTCACCAGCCAACTCTGAGGGCATTGGGTTTAACTGTGGCACAGATTTAGTTCTGGAGACAAGACACAGGGCCCAAAATTGAAATCAGGATGCTTGATTTACACTCTGATTCCTCCAAGTTACCGAAGTGGTTTTATCTGGAAGGCATTTGGGTAGGAATGAGCTAAAATTAGAGGTACTCTTTTAGCTATTTGGTAAATATATACAGATTGCTTTCACAAACAACAGCATGTACCACCCACAGGAAACCAAACACTTGAAAATACACCTGCTTCTGCTAAATTACAAGGACTCCACCGATATTTTATTTATACTTTCTTCGCATTTTCACACCAAATTTAGTTTTCAGAAGATGACCAACCACTAGCTGATACTCACTGGCTTCTGAACCCATCTCGTGAATTAGTGTGAAGAAGTTATGCCCAGATGGCAAGTCAGAGTGGAGACCCACATGGCACTGTGTAGGGTGATTTCGCATTTCTTCCCCGTGGTCTTAGGGAAGGGAGAGGGTGAAACCCTATCCTAACCGGCCTAACGGGTATAAAGAGTGGGACTTCACCCTTAGTTAAACGTTCTCATGGGAGCTGTATGAACTATAAATGAACTTCTGTATTTAGCAAAATAACTTGGCTTCTTGGATCTGCTAAGATATTTTAGAACAAACTATTTTGCTTAACCTTGACTTGCAAGGACGTGGCTGCAAAGTCCAGGTGTTTTGGTTGATGGACTTGGCTGTTATCCCAGAAGGAGCCAAGAAATGGGCTATAAAGGAAAACACAGCTTTTAATAAAGTGCCATTGCATACATTCACGCTTCAGAATGTTTCTTTGGTCCTCCTGAACCCTACTTTTCTATATTCTCTTTTTTCTCAAGACCACTCACCCAACTTCAGCTTTCTGTGAGGAACACGCCGGAGCTGGTCTCCGGCAGCACTGAAGCATTTACCAAGCCCTGATGTCTAAGGGGACACAATTCCACTTCCTCGGCAAAGTAAGTTGAACACTTGCACCCTTGGGTGAGACACCAACATACTTTGTTGCAACTTTTCACTTGTTGGGAAATTTATGGCCCTATGACCATGAGGTTCGCTGGCAACATTGTCACCAGTAGTGGCACACCTCCTCCCACTGAGTGTGGATCTGGTGGCCACCTCAGCCTCTCTAAAGGCAGAGGTGTACTGCAGCCACTCGGTCTGGGATCAAACTTTCTATAGCTAGAGAATGACACACTTATTCCAACCAGGGCCCTCCCTTTATTCGACCCAGGAGCAGAGTTATTGACTCGGGTTTTCTTCCAAGTCTAGAGTGTTTTTCTTCACTCACATACTGGTTTGAATTTTTATCTAATATAAAATGGTACTTTTTCTCAATAAAAGTTTAATCAAACTCCCACCACTTGTTTAATAAATAGTAGTCAGAGGAATACTGTCTGAAATTTCTTAGCTAGATAATTTGCCGAGTGCTGCTTGGAGAATTTGGCATTGTCTAAGAATTCAGTGTGGGCTAATCAAAGTAGCTGGAATTTAACTCTTACATTTATTCATTAATTTGGCTCATAAATACTAACTATGTATCATGGGTCAAGACTTTTCTATGGACTGGCTGTATGGTGGTATAAAAAATAGGTCAAACCCCTCTCTTTACGTGACTGATATTGTAGTGGGCAACTAGACCACCACTATCTAAGTGAATGAAGGAATGATTTCACGTATATGACCCTTTTTATGAGTACAAACGAAGAAAGCGAGAGGAAAGAAGATAATAGAGCATGCTCCATAAAGATCTGGCCTGGACGCTCAGGTCCTGTGGGTGCTCCCTCACAAATGGCAAAAGGACTTTGCAGGTGGGATTCAATGAAGACATCGGAGATGGGGAAATTATCCTCTGTTATCCAGCTGGGTGATTCATAAATGTACTCACAAGTGTCGTGAGAAACAGGGAGATTTGACTACAGCAGAGACAGAATGCAGTGCACTGCTGTCTTTGAAGATGGAGGAAGGAACCAAGGATCAAGGAACCAAGGAATCTAGCTCCGGGACTGAGAAAAGGCAAGGAAACGGAATTCCTCCTACAGCCCCTGCCACCATTCTGGTTTTGGCTCAAGGAAGCTGACTCCTGGCCTTTGTAATTGTGATAAATGTGCACCCTTTTAAGCCGCCCCTGTGTGGTAAGCGGTTACAGCAGCCTTTGGAAGCCCACACAGGAAGAAGCTGTTTCAGAGTTCATCAGAGAAGTGAGGAGCCACGTGCATTCAGGCAAGTGGGACGGGAGGCAGCAGAGGCAGGGAGGTCAGGCCAGGGAAGCTACAGATCACGCCAGCCGAGAATGTTATTCAGAAGGTAATGGGAAGCCATTCTCAGAAATCTGATCTGATTCTGTTTAGAGACTGAGCTTTATGAGCCTGAGCGGAAGCAGGAAACATGTGTGGTGTTCTACAGGGTTCAGGGGAGGGAAACTGGCTGGGCCAGGTGGTAGCAGTGGTAGGGTGAGCAGGGCCAGGTAAGACCACCCACCAGGGTATGACTATCCAGGATTGCTATTCTTCTCTGTAGGGAATCTGAGACACCTACCTGGTACCTGTTCTTGCCAATGATACTCTTTTGTCCCTGGAGAAGGACATCATGCTTGGTAGAGGGTCATCAAAAGAGAATGGGATGCTTAGGGGGCATTGAGTTTATGTCAATGGGGATGGAATAATTTGGAAAAGGATATTAAAAATGGCTGTACAACATGAAGATCATAAGCAATAGCACTGAATTATACAAGTAGGAGTTGTGGAGTTGGAGAATGTTTTGTTGTGTATATTTTTGCCACATTAGAAAATAAAAATTACAAAAAAAGAAAAAAATTACATGAATAATGATGAGTACCACGAAGAAGAAAATGTTCTAGAATTGACTCTGGTGACAACTCGACAACTCTTCTTGATATGATTGAATGGCATGACATGTGGAGGAAGTGCTAACAAAACTGTTAAGTAAATAAATAAAGTTCATAGAAGGATTTTAGTGCTGTTAGTTTAGAAAACAACAAAGAGGAAGGCCCTCGACGGCTCCCCCAGCTGCCCCAGCAGAGCAACCGCTGCGTCGGTGGCGCAGGCCCAGGGTCCTGAGGGCGCCTCCAACAGCAACGCTCTCTGGCTTTGAGGAAAACAGACTGCGGGAAATAGAGACACAGCAAAGCAGTGTCTTGTGTAGCAGTTCTGATGACTGACGTTTGAGGTTCTTCAATTAGGCTCCTCTTACAGCATTTGTGCTGCCCAGGCATAAGGCATGCTTTATGCATTTAATGATAGTTTGAGGACTGCAGAATGCATTGCACTTGAGATTTTTCATGAAGGACTTCCACATGACCCAGCAAGCGCTCCTTTCACCCATAATGCAAACCTCAAGAAATTAGATGTCCTCCTTCAGCTTGTGCTGTGGCTGCCTTGGTCAGATGTCTGGAAACTGGGGGGGGGGGGGGCAGAAGGTGGGGCCTTGGTAGTGTTTGTAACCAGGTTGTTGCTGGTGGGAGCACATGCCACGGACTCGTACTTCATCCAAGTCACTGTGATGTGGGCTTTCTGCCATCTCCCACATCTGTCTGCAAACACCAGGAAATTAACTATTTCTGTGTCTTACATTTTTAGTCAGTATCTAGTTCTTACCTGCCTTAGGAGTGCTGTTTGAAGGTGTCGACCATAGTTAAGCTCCATTAGCGTGAAATGTTCCTCTTTCCCCTTAAGATCCTCCAGCTTTTCAACAGTCATCCATTCAGAAATTATCAACAGTTATTTCATATTAATTACCAACCCAAAAGATACTGCCATAGTTAAACCAGGCCTAAGTATTACTCATTGTCCTTTCACACAGTGAAAAAGTGACGGGGACCCTTTCCAGCTGGTCCTCTGAAGAGGCCTGGCACCAGGCACAGTGCCTGGCTGATGCTGGGCACTGACAAACACTTGTTGGGGAATGAGCAGTCACCCCCTGGTGTCCAGTGAGAGGGCTGGGACATAACATGTATCGGTGAGAGGTGGGTGTGGTTTTCCCTCTTCCAGACGCAGGGCTGCCCCCAATAATGCAATTTGATGTTTCTTCTGGGACACGTTTCCCCAGCTCTTCGTCTGCCCACTTGCTTTGCTGCCTAATCCAACAGCTGAGCCCAGGTACGATTGGAGGGAAAATGGAATGAACCCTACACATGTTTGCTGTCCAGTGGGGCCTGAATATTTCACCAGCAAACAGCAGACACTGAGACCATCTCCACTGAGCCAGGCCATTAGCAGCCTCTTACGCCCATCTCTAGGACATACTGAAGAGTTAAGTCTCAGATGCCAAGGCTTCTCCTTTCTGACTAGTAGAGACTCAGGAATTCTTCTCTTCCGTCACCCAAACTCCTTTGCCACTCATGTTCTCTGGGTATGCCAGAAGAGGAAGTGACGGCAGATGGTTAACTTGTGACTAGGCTAGAAGATGTGTGTCATCCAATGGAGGTTGGTGTGAGGGAGTAGTTTAGGGTCTCATTTAAGCAAAGAGTCTTTCTGAGAAGAGATCGACCATGGATGACATGAAGTGACTGAAAGTCTAAGAAGACATTCCCTCTGAGGGCTTGGGTGTGGCTGTAGGAGTCAAGCAGCACTAGGATGCATGTACTCATTTTGTGCCTACTCTGTGCCAGCCACAGCACTAAGTCCTGGTGGCATAGGGAGTTATGTGCAGGACTGCTAACCTCAGATCCATCAGAGCTCTGAGGGAGAAAAATGAGACTTTCTGTTCCCCACAGGCACAATTCTACTCTGTCCTGTAGGGCAGCTATGAGTCAGAGGCAGCTAGATGGCAGTGAGATCACTTTAGTGGTTAAGAAAGACACCTCGACCTTCACAGTGAGTAGGTTCCTATCTGTCAGCTGAGCTTCAATTGTCTCATTTATAAATGGAGGGCCGGAATAGTAGTTTTTCATAGGGTTGTTAGAGGACAAAATAGGTATGGAGATTGTCACCCTCCCTGGTGGTATAGTGGGCCATGTACTGAGCTGCTCACCATAAAGTCAATGGTTTGAGCCCCCTGGCCAGTTCATGGGAGGAAGATGAGTCTGTCTACTCCCATAAAGATTTAAAGTCTCAAAATCCAAGGATGCTGTTCCACCAACTCGATAGCAATGAATTCCCAAATAAGAAAATGAGACTGGTTGTTCCTGGAAAGATTTATAGTCTTAGAAGTCCTCTGAGTGTGAATTGACTCAATGGTAGTGAGTTTAGTTTTTAAATGTTCACTCTTATTATTTAGATAAAAACTGTAGCATTGTGTTAGTCTGGATAGACTAGAGAAACAAACCCATGGACATACATATGTGTATAAGAAAGAGATTTATATACAAGAGGAATTGAACATGAGAAAACATCCCAACCCAGTGCAGTCCAAGACCATAAGTCTGATATTAGCCCATATGTCCGATACCAATCTATAAAGTCCTCTTCAGATTCACGAAACACATGCAATGAAGCCAAATGCAGGACGATCACAAGCCAGTGGGTTGAATGTCTTTGGGTCCAGTGGCGTTGTAAGCATCTTAGTGCTGGCAGGGGTCTCTCTGTGGCTTCTCTGGCTTCCGACTTCGGGTTGCGTCCATGTGGCTTGTCTTCTGCAGTGTCTCCCAGGGAGTAGCACAGAGAGAGAGAGGTGTCTTCCGCCTCCAAGGAAGAAGTACCAGATTTCCCAGAATTCTCAGAAGGCCATGCCCACACTGAAGTCTCATGGGCTATCTCCAGATTGACAGCCTAGACTCCACCCCTACACTCTTAATCCTTAAATTGACACCAGATTAGGTGACTACCACAAGTATCTTCTTATTGTCCTGATGGTGAAAAAAATCTATCTTCAGTAACCACCAAGCCTGGACATAGGGTCTACAATATGCTAGTACAAGAACAGTGTCATCTGGCAGAGGTGGCTTTTCTATACTTGTGGACTTTCTTGTGTGAAATGTATAAAAGCTGTACACTGAATCTATAAATAGAAAACTTGACTGTGAGATGGATTAAGACTCATGGAATGTCATGAATCATCAAACACTCCAAATGCCAATCAGGTTTTTAAAATATTAACCCAAAATTCTAAAGTTCATTTGGGAAAAGGAGTGATTTCAGCCAAGAACGTTTGGAAACAAACGAACCTGTGTGCAGAGGAGGTGCTTTAATTACTAGAAATGAAAACTTATTTTCTGTGACAATATTACAAACACAGAGCATAATTTCAGAATGGGAGGGACCACTTTGAACCTAACACAAAAGACAGAAATAATAAAGAAAAAACTCACAGGTTTTACTTACTACATGAAAACAAAATGTTCTCACATGAAACTTGGAAGTATAAGTGGAAGAAATGTTTTTGCAACATACTTGACAAAGGGTTAATTACTTATAAGGATTGACCCCATGTGAAATAAAACCAATTTCCCAACTTTCAAAACTGTGCAAATAGCAAAGTGCAAAGGGACATAAACAAATTCACAAGAGAGGCCAACAAATATTTGAAAAAAAAATCCACCCACGTGTATCCATCAAAGAAGTGTAAATCAAAAGAAAGAGAAACAACTATTTTAAGTTAAATTTGTAAAAAATAAAAAAGTGTGTGAAGGATAAATAATAAGTTCTTCTGGCAAATAATTTATAAAACATTTAATTATTAATTTACCTTTGACCTTTTAGCTCTTCCCTTCTATAATTTTTAACAGACATTATGCAATAAAAGATGACTAGAAAAATGTGAAGTTTATTAACAACCCTATTTGTCAACTTATGAGATAGACAGGTCCGGCAGCCCTTAAGAAGCATGTTATAAATGGCTACCTAATAAGAGAGAAGAAAATGTATAGTACTGCATGCAATTGTGAAAATTGGGAACCCTGGTGGTGCAGTGGTTATGCATTGGGCTGTGATCCTCATGGTCTGCAGTTTAAAACTACCAGCAGCTCTTGGGGGAGGAAGACCAGGCTACACTACTCCCAGAAACAGTTCCAGCCTCAGAAACCCACAGGGTGTCTTCTTGAGTCAACATTGACTATATGGTAGTGAGTTTGGTTTGGGTATGTAAAAAAAGACAAAATTCGGGGATACTCCAATGACGTCAGATTAGTATAGGAAAACCACCAGGATACTACAAAATACTACATGTCCTTTACTCTAGGAGGTGGAACTATTACATTTTTTAATATTCGTCAAAACTCCTCTTTATGCAACAGATCTTAAAGTGCTTTAGGCACGGTTGTGGGAAGATCGGCTTTGTTAACAAGCCTTTGCGCAGGGCATTGCCCTCGCCCGGAAACCAGAGGCGCCCCTGGAAAGCGGCCGCACCTGCCGGCCCCGGGCCGGGCTCGGCTCGCACCTGCTTCCCGGACCCCATGCGGCCGCCTGGCGTTTCCAAGCGCAATGACGCGCGCCACAGCGGCCACTGCCCCACCCGTGACCTCAATGCCAGAAGGGAGGGCATTCCCTTGTCCACGGTTTCCATCCTCTACTTGGGCGCCAGTAGAACCGAGATGCCCGGGCTGCAGGCACACTGCCCAGTTTTGAACTTAAACCGCGGCCGAGGGGCCGGCCACGCGGCTCCAGGACGGCGTCCTCCATAGGGACAAAGGGTCGGAAACGGCTTCCGCCAGTCCAGGTGGTGG